TATATATATATATATATATATATATAATATTCAGAAGGATGAAAGATGGAAGAAAAAGATTCATTACCATCTCAGCTGGAAGATTGAGATCAAATGATTTGTAGCTGGGCCAAAACCCAGTAGTTAGAACAGTGACAGTTAAGTCAATTCCTGGATTTACTTGTGGATTATTGCTGAGATATTCTTCGAAGCTTGCTTGGTTTTCTCTTGCTAATGTTAAGTCAGTGACCTGAACAAGAATTATAAATATTAAAATAAGACCTAACCAAACCAACATAATAAAAGGAAAAATATATGCTATATAACAAACCATGCCCTCCATCTTCGAAGTAAACTGCCCTCCACATTGCTGCTTTAGTTTTGTGAGGATACTTCTCTCATGATCATCATTAGCGCTTTTGTCAAACAGTAACCTCCGTGCAAGCTTTTTCCTAGCAGTATCGTAATGGCATCAAAAAGGTGCAGCAAAAAAAAAACAATAAATACAGCTCAAGTGTGAATTATAGAAAACCTGTAGAACTCAGCAAATAGGTCTTTATCACTAATATATGCAAGCAGCTTCACAACCTGCAAAAAATTAAAATTCTTTCAATGTAGCCCAAAAAATGTAATTTTATAGAAATTAAAAGGTCATGCATGCAGAGATGAAAAGAAGAAAACAATTGACCTTTTCAAGCGTCTCTTCAATAGCTTCATCACTCAGTTTCTCACTTCCACCCTTCTTAAGTATATTATCACAAAACGTAGCTAATAACTCAGCACTAGAACTGCCAGCAACACCCTTGTTGCAGAATACCTCAAAAGCCTCTTTAAGAGCCTGCAAAAACACTTTCCATAAATATAATCAAATTATCAAAAACTCAAATTTATAAATCAAACCTTGTGGAAAAGGGAATGATTCTGAAAGCAATCGTTCACATAAGCCAGGTACTTGTCATGCAGCTCAATCACTTTTCTAACAAAAACCTACAAGAAAAGAGAGATCAGAAATAGCAGCAGTTAAAAAATCTAGAGAGAAGTGTCAAAATGGTCCACTGACTCTTTGCATGAGGTTGTTTTAGTTTCAGAGCTATGAAAGTGTCAATTGAGTCCCCAATGTCTTTTGATATTGGCTGAAATAATCCCATAGATGACTAGTTTGGCCTCCATTAAAAAAGTCTAGGAACTAATTTGACACTTTTATAGATTTTGGGACTAATTATCCGCATGGAAATAGTTAGGGGACCATGTTGGCACATCACAAAAAAATACTTGCTTTGTCCGAAGAATAAGTGCATGGGCCCGTACCTGTTCTTGCAAACCAACCACCTCCTTCTTCTCTGCCTGTGGAACAACAGGACGTTAGAATGAAATATCCAGGTAGAAGAATGACTATAGCACTAGATGAAAAAAAAAAAAGATAGAATCGTATCAATCATTCAAACACCATATGAATCATTAAAAAAAAAAAAAAACTCAAGATAGATGAAATATAATTAATGCATGGAGCATTTGTCACATTAACGCTGTAATAAGCACTTGTTTCTAGTTAGTTAAAAGATATCCATCTTTAAGACTTTCCAAGCTATCTACTGCAACAAAGGTGGATCCATAATCAAAAATATAATTCAAGATCAAGTAGATAAATTGACAGACAAAAAAAAGTGGGGTCCTTTTTATAGTTATCTTTCACTATGAAGTCATTTTTTTCCTTTTCTGCTTTATAACGGGTAGTTTTGTAAATAGGAGCTGATAGTAGAAATGTAACTGAGCCGATTCGAGCTAAATTGAAATGAAGCTAAGCTCGATGAGCTAACAAGGAAAACTCAAGTCAACCCAAACTCGACTTATTAGGTCATGAACCAGGTTATTGAAAAAATAATAATATCAAAATTCAAGACTTTATCTATAAATTATTGAAAATTTTAAAAAATATTTTTTATATTTATATCAAGTAATTTACTTTTATTTCTCTTGTAAGAGTTCATTCTATTTCTTATTGTATTATAGCACTAACTTCAAGTAATACTGAATTTTTTTATAATGAAAAAGTCAAGCTTGTTAACCGGAACTAGCAGAAATTAATCTCGAGTTTAAGCTCAAACTCGATCAATTAATCAAACTCAAGCTAATGGTGGCTCTAATACCAGAGTAACCCAAACAACAATAAAAAAGACATTATTATTGACAAAGCCAATCACGATTAAAACCAACACACAAACAGAAATAGGAACAACAGGACAAGTGAATAGGGCTTATTTAGGGAGGTGGTGGTGACTGCTAGGGACGTGGAAAGATAGCGACAAGGTGTTGGGTGGGATGGAAAACGGAGGAATAGCGATTAGAGGTGGTCCAAAATCTAGATCGACTAAAACAACAATGAGGATTTTAATGGTTGTCATAGCAGTAAGGCTGCAAAATGAATGATTTTGAGCTGCTAGCAGTGAGGAGGCAGAAAGGGGGTTGGTTATATGTGGTCAGGAGAACAGAAAAAACACTTGATGGCAATGACGAGTAGAGACGACTCGGAGTGGTTCATGATGGTTGGGAAAGGGTGGAAGCGGTTATGCAAGGTCGCAGCGAGGGGAGAGACTGCTAGAAATGGGGGAACAACAGGGAAAATCAACAATAGTTGATGTTTTGGCGGTTACAACAGGACCAGGATGGTCGGGAGCAATATGGGGAGGAGGTGAAGGGGGATAGAGAAGATAATCACCAACTGGAGACCAATATACAGCCAAAGGACCACCTGGACTCTCGAATACAACCCTCAGAGGAAAGAGATGTCGACAACCATCCAAATTCAAAAGAAACAAAAAACTGAACCAAAAAAATCAAGAATAAAAATACTATGAGTGGCTCAAGAGAACAGGTCGACTCCTCGAAAGAAAGAAAACCTAGACCGATTCAACTCAAGTGAAGCAGTAGGGCCACGCACAAACTCGTGTGTGTGGGACATGATGCCTCTTCTACTTGCAGACGACTTGTGTCAATGTGAGACACGCTCCCACGTTAGTCTCCTAGGATTGAGAGAACCTCAAAATCATCTGTCGAAGCTTCTAGCTCCTCTTGGTATAGTGTCTGGTTGGCCAAGTTAAGGGTGGTGAAACTACTATAACTTTTTGGTAAGTCACTCCTGAAGACATTGTCATTCCAAAGCATATCCTGATAGAATAAATTCACATCCTCTTTTGGAACAACCTGAGATGGAGCTGCATATAGCTGTAGACTCCCACAAAGTAACCCTTGAGCCCTTAAGTTTGTAACATTCTCCTCTCAATTCTCATGCTCCACTGAAAGTATCTGATAAATAAATCTGTCGAGAGAAATCAACTCTGAAGCAAGATTTACGGCAGGTTGGACCACACTTAAGCATAACAACTCAAAAGAGGCCTCTTCTTTTTCTTCTTCTCTAAAAGAACCTAGATCCCACTGTAAGATATTTTTCCCCCAAAGCTGTTTCGAAGATTTTCAATGATGAGGTTCATCCTTACTATCTGATCACTTGTCAATGGATAAACTGGTGAACTAATTTTAATACCCAAATTACTCCATATAGTCTCCCATAAGTGGCTCAAAAGCATCTCATTGCTGACATGTTGGACCTCCCTCAATAAGGGCAACTCAGTAAGTAAACTATATACCTGAAAAAGTATGAAATTCTCTTATCTGAGATTTCCATGTGTCTGATGTTGATTCCTCAGACAGGACCATCTTGACCAAACAATGTTAATTTTGTTGGAGTCTCTCTCATGAGCTCAAATTGAACTACGTGTTTTCTCCCTCATCAGTTGTAATTTGATACTCTTCCTGTGTCCTCATCTTCATCAGTGTCTACTGTGTCATCACTCATTTTTTCAATTGCTCAATGATCGGTGAAAGACCTCATTTTCTTAGTTGGGCAATCCGACTCCATACATTTGAAACAGTTCCTGGTTGTTACAGATTTGGAATGCAGGTTGGTTCCACCTCCTCCACTTTGAACGCGTCTCCTCAGCTGTGAAATCAGCTTAAATAATTTGTTGCGTGTACTTTTGTTGTTTGACCAGGGGGTTAACCTTTACCAGTAAAATGGGGTGCTCACCCTGGAATGCTGTAATTGGTGAGGCCTTAAACACATATCCTATCTATAATGTATTGGTACAGGTGCAAGATATTTAGCCAACTTCCAACTCCCCTTACTCGTTGCTTTATGAGAGAAAGAGGAACTAAAGAAATTGAAAGAGAAAGGAAGAAATTGCAATTACAAAGAATGGAAAAGAAACCACACATATGGTAAAAAGTTATGACATTGTTGTAGTAGATCATATTGCATCTCGATTCCTTAGTTGTGTCATTTATGCCTACATAAAAAAGAAAAAAAAAACTAAAGCAATGCTTATAGCAAGTGTTTGACAAACTTATTTTGAAATTTGTTTGAAACAATAATAGCATGATCTTTATTATGCAAATCCATTCATCACTACTGCAACCTAAACATCTAGTAAAGGATAGGTAATTTAAACAAGATCTAAGAAAAACACATGAGTAAACTAAAATTTCTTAATTACATGAACAAAATTCATGTGCAATGGAACGTATATAACAAACTGATGTTGTCTGCTGATTTCATTTCCAATTAACCATTAAAAGAGAATAAGAATTTTTTTTTTTTTCTTAGAATATCAATTGGTCGTGTATAAGTTAACAATTCCTTGGTCAGTGTGTTGAAGACCAAAAAAGTTCAAGTTGTAATAAATTGAAAGTAGAGTTGCCAAAACTCATGGAATGGAATGAAGGATATAAAGATCATGTGTTGAGAGGAAATATTTTAGTGTTCTAAATTAACTGAGAATAGATGCTATAAGTAGTCAAATAGGAGAAATACAGTAAGGACATAAAAATTTAGAAAACAATTCATATTTATGGATATATAAAATATATCGTGCATATAGACGAGAAAATGTTCGATTTACCATGATCTTAGTAAAATGCCCCCAAACACGGTTCAAAATGACATAATTAATAGGATCGGTTAATAAATTTATTTGTGCCATTTTTCTTATCTTGGAAAAGTTTCTAAGGACATTTTCATAATTATGTATTTGTTGTTTTGGACAGTATTGGGCCTCTTACTATTCACTATTTGAGTTTTTACTTCTTCTTTTTTTTTCTTTTTAAGTTTTATCTCAAATTTTGTTGATTTTAGGAAGGATTCCCTATTCTTAAAGATGTGGGGAGGGAGGAACATAGTTAACGTGTTTTCTCTTTGTTGAGTAGGCATTTTTCTCCTTGAATCATTTGTGCAGGATTATTGGAATTTCCAATAGACCGAAACCTCTTATTTCTTAGTGGGAAACCTTGAAGACAGCATCCACTGTACAAGAACTTAAAGACCATTGCAAGCTGCGGTTGTTCTATATTTTTACATTGAAAATACTTTTTTTGTTGAACCTTCCAGCAAAACCTCAAGGTATTGGAAACCGCAAGAACGTTACATTGCAGCAATTTAATATAAATGTTGCTTGCAAAATCATTTGGGCAGGACTTTTGGATTTTCCAATAGACCGCAACCTCTCATATCTGAATTGGAAACCTTGAAAACAGCATCCGCTGTAGAAGAACTTGAAGATCATTGCAAGCTGAGGTTGTTCTATAATTTCACGTTGAAAATACCTTTCTTGTTCAACCTTCCAGTGAAAACTCTAGGTGCTAGAAACTGCAAGAATAATTTTACATTGGAACAATTTAAAATAAAAGTTGCATGCAAAATAAACCGTTTTTTGATCCAAGAAAAAGCTTTATAATCAGGTTCCTAGTTGCCATATTCTTCAAATAAGTCAATTTATTATATAATGTAAATTTGATTTACTTTTATTTCCTCGCATTGACATCAATTTAAGGTTCCTAGAAGTGAGGTGAGGATGTTTGCAAGTTAATAAAAAGGGAAAAAACGGAAAACAAAATAAGATTTGGAGGCAATTTTGGGGGGCAGCTGTTCTCCTTGCAGAAAACAACTAAGAAAAGGCAAACAGCGATAGTAGTGAAGGATACTGAGTCGAGGAGGATTCACTACATATTTCTAAACAATCTGCAGACAGAACACTTACAAAGGAAAAATGAAACAACATTCCTTAAAGCAAAAAGCCACAAATAATCTCCAAATGCATAAAATAAAAAATAAAAAAAACTAAAAGACTCAGACTATGAAAAGGGGACACGGATATGACACGACAAGATACAAGGACATGATATAATTAAAAAAATAGGGCACGACACGTCATGAACACGCTTTTATATTTAATTAATTGATAATATAAAAAATATATTTTCCCCTTCACAATATAAACTATGCAAAAATACAA